ATTTCTAAGTATCCCTTTGGTCCTGAAGAGGTATTTGGGACAGGTAGGGAAGGGAAGGACTGGGGTGTCAGGGCTGGGGCCTTGCTGGAACCATGCAACCTTAGTGCATGCAGGATTGGCCCCATCCATCTGGGGAGAACTGCTCTAGAGACTGCAAGACTGGGTCCTTTCCCTGCAGCTCTTGCCCAGCTCCTCAGGGGTGCCACCTGTGGAATCTGAGGACTGGGCTATATGAGAACAGGCTTTGCCTACCAACCTTTCCCGCAGCAACAATGGTTTCTGGCCTTGCCAAGCTCCTTGTTCCTGCTTAGCCTGGTGGTTCCTGGCCTGCCTGCTTGTTCCTGCCTTGCTTCTCGTGTCACTGGACCCTGCTGCCTTGACACTGTTCCTCCTGACTTCAACTCCTGGACTGTCTGACCACGATTTGCGTTATCCTTCTACGGTACTTGGCTGCTGTTTCGACGGGAAACCTTAGTTGGTTGGTGTCTGCTTGGGCTGTGGGGTTGGTTCCACCTTGTTCCTGTGGTCTTGCTCTGCACTGAGTCCTGGTGCCTTTTCTACTGAACCCTGACAGGGAGGATTCTTTCATGTCTGAAAATTGCTGTCAGGGGTAGAGCAGGTCAAGGATATAAAAATTAAAAATAATAATAATTTGTTGACTTTTTAATCCAGTGGAACACCAAGATGCATTCTCCTCTTTTGACTGAGAGTCTGGCTGAAACTCTATCACATTTTTACAGTGGTGTAATGTAATCTGGAGCTTAGTTCCAATAGCCTGACAGCAGGTATTTGCTGCTGTGCACTGAGTTACACAGTGCCTTGAGAGTTATATGAATTAAGTTGCCCTGGCAGGTGCACATTGCACATTTCCATTGTATGCTCACAAAGACACATTGCCTTTCCCCCCAAAAGCTATGGGAAGATCTGCCAATGTAGGAAGGGAAGCCAGCAATTTGTCTGCAGAGGAAAGGCTACAGAATGATACCACTGCTAACATTTAACCTATATAGAATCTAAACATTTGTCTGCAGAGGAGGGAAAGGCTACAGAATGATACCATTGCTAACATTTAACCTATATAGAATCTAAACTGCACGTTGTCTTATTGGCAGTCTGGCTTCATGAACAAAAAGGCATTCTAGCCCAATTCTTCAGTTACAGTATTTGCCTTCACCTCACGTTTTATACCACTTTCACCAGATGAAGAGTTCTGGACAATCTGAAAACTAATTTTATTCGTAACTGTTTAGTGATCCAAGAGACATTTCGCCCAACCTCAAACTGTGTTTTAAAAAGCATACTTCACTAATAGTTCTGAAATTCTGATTAAATTTCATTGAAACTAACAGAACCATTTGATCCTATTACTTTTAGGGCAGGGGGGAGGAATGCTCCTGGTCTGGAGGGACACATTCCCTACACCAACTGTTCCATGGTAAGAAAAACATCAGAATCATGACTGCACCTCCTAATCTCCTGGACTTCCCAGCGAAAGCACCAGCTAGAGCTTATCCAGTTGGTGCTTTGGTTGGCAACCAAGCTTTGCACCTCCTCTACCTTTCTCATGCAGGTGTGGCAGAAAAAGGGTAAAGTCCATTTAACTGGCTATTTTAGGAGAGTCTTAGAGACTCAGCGTTTAATTGCAACTGTGTACAATCACATCACTGTGCCAAGTTACTCCAGCTCCTGCAAGGAAACCAGCTGTATTCTGCTACCTGTATGAACTGTGCAGATTTTCTGGATTCCATGTACAGTAATCCACATGACTAAGACTGCAGTATGTGGCCACACTGCTATCTGTGAGTGCCTGGGAGGGAGCAAGACAGTGCACATCCTGTACCTGAATCCTGAGCCTGATATTTATTTAAATGTGCATGGGCAAAGAACACAGCCAGGTCAATTATTCATAGGTATCATTTGCCCCTTCCCCCTGCTCCTGAATAATTTGTGCAGACATTCTTGCTCCTAGTTGTTTCCTTGAGGAGACAAAGGAACAGGTAATGGATCCTAGTTGTTTGGAGATGATCTAGCCTGTTTTGTTCCATGCATCAAAAAAGAAGACACAGTAGAGCAGAGCAGTTCTGTAGTGGTTTTAAACCAGACTTCCAACTACAGCCACTAAGAGCATTTTAAAGGACTTACATTTAGAACCTGGCTTCATTTATCCTGTCTCAATCTGAGCTACTTTGTGGAAAAGAAATAGAAGCATGTTATTAACGCTTTAAAAATAACTAGGGCAGCTAAAATAAGATTGTTGAAGAAGGATTTAAAAAGAAAAAAATTGCTTCTTCTTGGTTCTTTCTTTTCTTTCATACTATAGTATATTAAAAAAAAATCAGATAAAATTGTGTACTCTTCAGAAATTAAACATCTCTAGAATATATGTAAAAGAACTAAAAGGATACCACTTTGGAGAAGACAATTTGCACTACTGCAGTTCTACATGCAAATTCAAAATTTCCAAGTGATTTACCTAATAACAAATTATCTGAATTGGTTATAAGGCAACTAATGAATGAACAATACATAGAGCTTGACTACATTTTCCTTTGCAGAGAGCTGGTGTGGGCTAAACAGGGTTGCTTAAGGTTCAGTAGAGAACCTGCATGCCACGTGATGCGATCTTTGCATCTATGTAGCATAGCAATCATATTTGGTTTGCATCCTGAAGCTGTTAAAAGAAAAGAAAAGGTTTTTTTTAAAAGCCGAATTAAAAGCCTCCTTTTTGTGCCCCATGAATTTTTTAAAGTGTCAATTAGAGCAGCACTGATGTGTTATATTTTTAAAATATATATATATTTTAAATTTGAAGTAACAGGGCAGAGCAACTTGACTTCCTGGACTGTAAACAGAAGAAGAAAAAAAACTTATCCTCCTCCCATTTCCAGGAGGAAGCTTTCTATTTTTTTTTAAACGGTACAACACGTCAGCACTGCCCTAATTAGTTTTAAAATATTAGATTCCCGCCTCTGCTCCTTGGAACAGAGAAAGGACGTTTTTCAGTTACCCATATCATTAAGTGATCAAGCTCTCTCTTTAAACCATTAATGATATGCAGAAATTGAAATCAGCCACAAAATAAAGCAGGAAGCTTGCTGTGGTCTGATCCCAGTGATCACACATGCTGAAAACGAAGCAGAAGTGAGCAATCCTAGCCACATGGAAAAAAACAGTAACCCCTGACGGGGACCCAGAAAAGTGTGGGTAGGAACATTCTGGGGATGGGCTGGTTCACTCTAGCAAAGACGTTCTCTGATCACTGGCAAAAAGAGTGAACCAGCCCACCTCCACAAGGAACCAAACAGTGGGCTAAATGCCAATGTAGTTTTAACCCCTATGAAATATTGTTTCAACCCAAAGGTGTGGGAATAAGAAAGAGCAAGGCTCTGAGTAAGAGGTTTGAGTTAGAAAGAGGAGGGAAACTGGAGACCGAAGCTGCTGTTGCTGCTGAAACTGTAGGGGCCTTTGCCAACTCAGTATAGGTATAATTTCTATAATGTTTCTGTTGGAGGAGGGAATCCACATAGTGAATTCATGCATAGAATTGAATAGATTTTAGTTAAGGGTTTTGAAGACTACATATATGGAGTTGATTCTTTTATTTACTGTACACCCAACACACTTGAGGGAGAAGTCTTGAATTTTTATTTGAATTTGAATTCAAAGGTATATTTGAACTTCGCAATTCTAAAAACAGTTTCTGTATTGTGCTGTCTGTCACCTAGGACTCAAGTGCACAAATTGTAACATTTTATTGTTATAATTGCTCGTGTTCTTTGTTCTATAACTGTGAATATGAAAAGACTCATTCTGTTAAGCTACATTTGTAAAGTTCATCAATAGACATCTAAGTAAACAAATAACCCCATAGAACTTTGAAGTGTTACATACCTACCCTCCTATATAGCTAGGTACATGCAGAATAGGTGATACTGTACTATGGAATTCTGCAGTGCTGAGAAAGAGCTGCAGTCCATTTCTAGAATCCTCCAGCCAGCATGCCTATTAGCCATGCTGGTTGAAGGACTCTGGAACTGCAATCCAAAAAAGTAGCTTCTCCAAACCCTGCTTTTCTGTATAACCAGGTGTTCTTGGACAGGAATTCCCAAAAGCTTTCTCCACCAGCTGTGCTGACTGGAGTTTCTGGGAGCTGCAGTCCAAGCACACCTGGATTATTCAAGGTTGGGAACCACTGTTGTGAAACAGTAAACCTAGGATGAGAAGAGGTGGCCCGCCTGTAAATATACTTGGAAACATGTGACACCTTAGAATTAATACTCAGCCAGCTCTAACAAGCAATTATGATACTGTGTAAGCTTTTACATAGCTCTGACTTCACCAGATCGTGCGCTTAACAAACATTTGGTTCGGTCTTTAAAAATATCCTCCTTTATAAAGTAAGATTTGGGTTAAATTAAAGAAAACACTTCTATCTGGAAAGAATGGCAAATTCCTTTGAGAGAAAGGGCCATGTGCTTTGTTTTCAGGTTATTATGAGCATCATTTTATCATATGCGTGGGGATCGTTCTAAAAGATGCCTTCACAATGATTTTATGGTACCGCAGTAAATCTTAACCAGAGCTTGGAAACGTCAGTTTTTATTACTCTGATTTTCAGCATTCCCCAGCCTGAAGGGGCCAGCTGGGAAATTCTGGGTACCCTAGTCCAAAAAAAAAAGTTACGCAGCACTGCCCTTATTTATCATCGTTTTCCTTTCTTTTTAACGCGCCTCGTTTCAAACCCCAAGGCTGCCTCAAGAAGCCTGAGGCAGGAGTGGATTTCAGGGGAGAGAACAGGCCAATTAGAGACTCGGGCGGCCCTGATAGTGGCCAATAGGCGGCCCAGAACGCCCTGCCGCGGGGGTGAGGAGACAAAAAAAAAGAGAAGGAAGTGCCCTTGCCCGCCGCTCTGCCGGTCCCACTGCCAGCCAATCAGAGGCGCTCCGGCTCGGGCACGAGGCACGTGCTCTCTCTCTCACTGCCCGGCTCGGCTTCTCGCCCTGGCGTGCGCAGCCTGGCCGCGTGCAGAGGCATTCCTGCTTGCTGGGCGCCTCCCTCCCTTTGCCGGCCAGGTGCTCACGGGACGAGGCCGGGGCCGAGCCGCCGTTACATAAGCGGAGAGGGCGTGCCCGCTCCTGGACCTGCGGGCAACTTTGGCAGGGTGGCTCAGGTCGGCTGTCCCGGAGGGGCTCCTTCCGCCTCAGTGCCCAGGCGTTTCTGACGGGGAGACAAGAGCCGAGGCAGGCGGGCGGATTAGCGCCCGAGGGGGCGAGACAGTGGCAGCCAGCCCCGCTCGTCTTTCGGAGCATGGCATCCGGGCAGCTTCAGGCGCCAGGAAAAGCAGCGGGCAAGCCGGGGCGCCGCAGCAAACGGACCGGTCGCGGCCACCGCCGCCGCCGCTGCTGCTGTTGACTCTGCGGAGCCGGCGGGAAGGAGCGAGGATGGCAGCGGAAGGCAGCAACGCGGACTGGATGGGCTCCCTGCCGCCCTCCCTCAGCGCCCTGCCGCTTTCCAATCTGGCCATCCCAGGTAACGGAACCCGCTCCCGACCCTTCTGGGCACGTCCCTATTTCCCGACATCTGCAAAGGATAATATTCAACTTTTTCCCTTGTCGCTAGGCATTTCTGCCTGCAGCCACTCGAGTTCCGCTCCATCGAATTCAATGGGAATACTATAGGCGATAGGAAACGGGGGCATTTGGTGCCCTCCTCGTTCCACCTGGTTCAGAGGATAAATAAGCCTTGCCCTCCCATTTTAGGAACACAGGCAGCCCATGATTTGAGCCTAGGAGGGGGGGCTGGCCCCAGAATATTTAGAGTGAACCTCCTGTACTTTGACTGTGTGCCACCCTCCTAAAAAATAATTACTTTGCCATTTATTTGTCTTAATCAAAGATTTTACAATCGTTAGGAAGGTTCATTTCACTAGTGTACTCCCTCTGTACAATGTTTATGTTTTTCTGGACTGATTAGGAAAGAGAGGTAAAGAAATGTGCCCCCAGTTGGAATCTTGCCTTTGTTATCAACTTAACATAGGCTTAAATGATTAAATGTCTTGCAGCCTCAGCACTCTCTCTGCTCCATCTGTAGTGGAGGGATTGTGTTATCAGCTGGCCTTGTAAAGTGTCAGTGATATCAATATGCTATCCAGTTCTTATGGAGTATTCATATATTTTAGTGTTTTCTTAAATTTATATTCTACCTTTCCATTTAGTGAGGTCATCATTCTGCTGTTTTCCACTTTATCCTCATCTAGTAGAAGTAGATCAGACTGAGGGAGAACAGTAGGCACAAGAGGACCCAAACTGTTTTGTAGTTTAGTGAAGATCAGAACCTAGATTGCCCAAGCTACAATCCAGCACTTTGACCATGGTGATGTATTCATAAGGAACTAAAAAAAAAAGTACTGTTTCATTACATTGAAAGACATAGCACAGACACACATGCTTTATTTCTTTCATCTTTGTTAATTAAAAAAAATTCATTTAAATTGGGTTTTTAGAATTTTGTTACTGTTTTATGTGGTGTAAATTTCCTTGGGAACAATTGTTGAAAGACAGTTTATGCATTTTGTAAATAAACAATGTATTTTGCAACATTGTTTTTCTAATGCATTTTTTCTCTGTTATTTGGAGATTTGTGCAGGCATGTCACCTGATTCTTGTGAAGTAGGAAAAGCCAATTAGGAATTTATCCCAAATGTAAGATATGAAAAAGTGCTGTGGGAAGGTAATTGCCTCAGACTACCAATAAGTAGCATATTTTAAATTTTTGGAAACTGAGACTATTCCCATTAAGACATACGGTATGAAAAAAAACAAAGAAAAAAGGAGCATGATACACTGGACAGCCAAAGACTCTACAGACCAGCTCCTTCATGTTTAAGAACAGGGGAATGTAGGATGCTTCCACACACACCCATCAAGTCCTCGATCCATCAAATTCAGTACTGTGCTGTGGACACCAGTAGTAAGAACTACATTGTCTTTCAGAGATTTTTGATTGGAATGTTTTGCCATCATGGCCAACATTGGTGGGTGATATGCACTGCAGTTCAGAAGTGGCAGTGGCTTCACATGTTGCATATTTTAGGTGTACGTTTTAGACTGAGTGACAACAGCACCTCTTCATGGTTTCAGCCAGGAACTGTTTCTTAGCCAAAATCTGAACTTCTGAGCATTGAACCCTAACCTTTTCCATGCAAGGCCTGTGTTGTATGAGTGAGCTATAACCATTCCACAGAGCATGACTGTGATTTAGGACATCTGGTTACTGTCCCTATAGTGGAAAGAGAAGACTTAATGAGATGTACATATTCGTACAGTGTGAAATCTGGACAAACAAATTGGTTTGGTTTCAATAATACTTTTCTGCACTCGCTCCCTTGCGTATTTTGTAAGGAGGCAAGATCTGACCTTATTTCCCTGCCGTCAGAAGATCAGACATAGCATCTGAACAAAAAAAAATTGCAGGCTTGAACAGTGCAATAAATATTGCAAAGAGCATGCTAGTTAAGTGATCATGAGAATGTAATGTATACATATGGGATTTCACATTGTAGGAAATCTTAGGCCCATGCACAGACTATGAGCCTCCCGTGTTTGACAATGTGCCTGTTTATATAGAATATGAGTGCTTATTACTTTTACTAACATTCTTTGTAAGCTGCTGTAAATGCTCCATTGGAGACAACTGTAGTGCCCTGAAGGTAGTACAGAATAAGTTTTTAATATACTTTCTTGTCATTTTAGTATCATTTCTTTGTGTTTTGCCTAGTGACTGTCAGAAACATTTTCACCAAATTGTGTATCTGGTAATCAACAGCTGCCTTTTTTGGAAGCTGTTTTCTTATTTGTTTGAAGGATGCCGGAGAGAGGAAACTGAGCTATGTGTATACCTCCCCACCCATTCCCTATCTATGCCAAATCTTTCCTAATCTTCACAGGTTTTTAGTTGCAGGTTGGATTGTCAACATGTTCCACTAAATATGTGGAAATAATTCTCTTTCACGCTTTAGAAATACAGCTTCCGATATAAACCACTACGTTCCCCCGAGTTTGTCCCCAGTGAGGGTGGAGGCATTTAAAATGTAGTCTGGCTCTTCTGTGATCTATTTGATGACATGATGTACTCACAGGAGTGAGTTGTATTCCCAGAGGAAACTAATATTTGGCACCTCTTCCTGTGTCCTACTGAAAACTTAGCTGGTTCAAATGTTTCTCCAACAGGGTTTTCTGTGACTTCTGCTACTGACCTGAATTCAAATATTGCAATTTTGTAAAGCAAAACAGATTCTTGCTTAGTTTTGGATTGGGGAAGTATTTCGTGATATTTGCATGAGTATTTCGAAGTGCTGTTTTTAACTTATGAAGTCCTAAAATGCCTTGGATCCAAGCTAAAGGATCACATTTCCTTCTGTGAGCCGGCCCGGACATTAAGATCACCAGAGGAGGTCTTTCTTTCAGTCCCACCACCTTGACAGGCATGCTTGGTGGGGACAAGGAAGAAGGCCTTCTCTGTCACTGCTCCCTGGCTCTGGAAGTACCTCCCATGGGAAGCCAGGCTGCCCCCATCTTTGCGGTCCTTCCACAAGCAAGTGAAGACCTTTCTTTTTAGGCAGGCTTTTCCTTAGTGATTGGTGGTCTGAGAGGTGTTTTTAAAATGGATTTTTGTGCTCTATTGCTTTTAAATGTGTTTTAGTATTGATTTTATTTACTACAGTATTTTTAATATGCTTGTTCAATTATTTTTTAATACAGCATTTGGATACTTACTCTTTTTGGCTTTAAAAGATCATCTTTTTGAGGATGTAAGCCACCATGGGCCCTTTTAAGGAGAAAGGTGGGGTAAAAATCTTTCAAATAAATAATAAATATTTGGTTTCATATGGATTCTGTGTGGTATGTTCTACTGTTCAGTGCCTATAAAAGCATGTTAGAATGAAACCATCCCATTTCCAAAAATAAACAGGAGGATTGTTGAACATTACAGTAAATGACTGTGGTTAACCAGGATAAAACATTCAGTACCATCTCTGGCTTTAAGGTGTAAGCTGACCACTAGTGGAAGTCAATCAGCATTCCTTACCACAACCAGTACTCATAATGTATTGGCACATATATAGGTTTTCTTATTGAGGAGGGGTGACCTTTTCTCAGAAACTTCCATAGTTGGTTTCTGCTCAAGACAGGATACCAAACTAGGTGAATCATTGTTATGTAGTAATGCTTATGTCTGGCCATCCTGCACAACTGGCAGATCTACAGTCAGGCACAAGCTGGCATTTGGCTTGTCATGTTTTTTATTTACAGTTCACTTAACAAACTGGGAATGTGGCTGTTCAGCGGAACCACTGCTTCAGTCTTCCTAAAGATATTTATAAACTAATGAAACACCCCATCAAGTCATAACAGTAGCGAGCTCAACTGCTACAGCAAATGTTGGATCCCATATATTTCTTTATAAAAGGTGGTAGAGTATCTACACTAAAAGGAATCTGTTCTGTTAATGCCTTTTGAGTAAGGGGAGAAACAGAAGTATGCTTTGAATTTACAACAGCCATTTTTCCTGCTTTTTTTAAAAGATAGTGCCATATCTGAAATTGACAGCAAAAACTAATATTCACAATCCTGCAAAAATTAGACTTCTTTATCACAACTTACAGGAATGTTCTCATCTTGTTTTACCAGCTATGAAAGAAAATCATACACATTTCTTTTTAGGAGATCCTGTGTATCATGTAGATGAGATGCACTTGGAGATAAGGAGAGCTGATGTTATCACACTTTTCAGGCACCTACTTGTATTTAATAGTTAATCCAACAACAGTATAATCACCTAATACACAATTTATGAAGTGAATGTGGATGTTATCAGTTATACTACAAAATCTTGCACATAAAATTGTTTTTTTTGGAGTGCATTAATTAAATCAGCTGGTAGTAGAAGCATTTTATAAACTTCGAGTGAAAGTGAAAGAAGAAAGTGCCAAAACAGGATTACAGTTGAACACTAAGAAGAGAAAAATCATGACTACAGAAGAACTACGCAACTGTGATGCTGACACTGAAGAAATTGAATTTTTTAGAGTTTGTGTACCTTGGTTCAGCCATCAACTGTTAAAATGGAGACTGCATCCAAGAAATCAGAAGTTGACTGAAACTTGGAAAGGCAGTTATGAAGTAATGAGAAAAGATAATCAAATATAAGGTTGTATCACTGGTGATGAAGACCAAGATCACCCACACTTGTATTCCTGATCACCAAGTATGGTTGGGAAAGCTGGACAATAAAGTTGACAAGAAAAAAAAGGATTCATTTAAAATATGGTGCTGTGGGATTGCTTTGTGGATACCTTGGAGTAGCAGAAAGATGAACAAGTCAGAACTATCTCTGGAGACAAAAATGTTGAAACTGTGGCTGTTGTACTTCAGACACATTGTGAGAAGGCACGATTCTCTGGAAAAGGCAATAATGCTGGGGAAGGTTGAAGGCTGCAGGAAAATGGGAAGACCCAATAAAAGATGCAT